CGGCCGAGGGACCCGAGCCTGTTTTTTTGTTTGTTTGTGTGTGTTTATGTGTAATATATATATATATTTGATTTTTTACAGAGAGGGAGAGGGATAGAGAGTTAGGAACATCCATGAGAGAGAAACATCGATCAGCTGCCTCCTGCAGACTCCCCACTGGGGATGTGCCCGCAACCAAGGTACATGCCCTTGACCAGAATCGAACCTGGGATGCTTGAGTCCGCAGGCCGACGCTCTATCCGCTGAGCCCGACGCTCTATCCGCTGAGCCAAACTTTCATAAGTTCAACTATGAGCGTTAAATAAGAGAAAGGCAAGAAGTAGACAATGGATACGGGCGATGCCAGCCGTTGGGTACACCCTGAGTGCAACGTGAGCCCAGAGGTGTGATGGCCGTCCCCGAGGCCCATCTCAGCTCCCAGAGCTTGTCATGGCCCGAGAGCCTGCAGTGAAGGTCCAGGGAGTCCTTTCAGAGAACACGGCCCCTAAATGCAGCTGGCCTTCATCTGGTACTCCGCTGAAGAAGAGCCTGCCACTTGCCTCTGTATGGGGGGAAACGAGACCATGTCATCATGGCCTTCGTGAAAAAAGATAATTACACTTTGGTGGGTGCTTAAAGGATGTTCGAGGATAGTTTTACCTGTATGTGAATGTCTCCTCACAAGCTGACATGAACACCTGCCGCCGGCCTCGCATGACCTGGAATTCTACGGAGATGGGTCTGGGGGCCATCCCTCCAGCAGTCACTGACAACTCAGAAGCAGGGTCCCTTAGGTGGGGAGTGGCGTCCGTTTGGAGGAAGTCAATTGAGACCCACCACCCTGGAGTGGCTGCAGGGACCTGAGGTGTTTCACGTGAGGCTGGAGTGTTTACCAACGTCCTCCTCCACTGGGACCCCTTGGCGTCCACCCCCTCTTGAGATCCTCCCTGTGGCTGGCTTCCTGGCTTCCTAGAGCCAGAGCCATCCTGTTAGTGCCCGGTTTACACCCTGCATTCCCAAACGACGGCTGCCGTGGTGTTTGTGCAGATCAGCATCTTTCTTCAACTCACAAGAAACTGATTCAGCCATCAACACACTGGAACCTTGGCTGTCCTCTGCACCTGGAACCAGGCCAAGTTCCTCAGGATACGGGTGGGCTTCGCACTGTCCTCTTCACCGGTCCCGGAACACATCCCAGCAAGCTGTGAGCTCCTCTCTCCCAGCTGGGAACCACCTGCAGTTTAGGGTGTGTTTCCTAACTTCGGGGAGATCTTAGTCCTGGAGGCCACTGCTCATTGTCTTTCTCCAGGTAAGGTTGCCAGGTGAAATATTTGGGACATTTATCTACTAAAAACTTTATTTACTGTTGATCTGAAATTCAAATTTAGTGTTTTTTAAAAATATATTTTTATTGATTTCAGAGAGGAAGGGAGAGGGCTAGAAACATCAATGATGAGAGAGAATCATGGATCAGCAGCTTCCTGCACGCCCCCTACTGAGGATCAAGCCTGACCTTGACCTTCTGGTTCATGGGTCAACACTCAACCACTGAGCCACACCAGCCAGACTGTACTGTTCTTTCAATTTTTTTCAATGCTGTTTGTACTACAGTGTAAAATTTTTTTAAAATATATTTTATTGATTTTTTACAGGGAGGAAGGGAGAGAGATAGTTAGAAACGTCGATGAGAGAGAAACATCGATCAGCTGCCTCCTGCACATCTCCTACTGGGGATGTGCCTGCAACCCAGGTACATGCCCTTGACCGGAATCAAACCTGGGACCTTTCAGTCCGCAGGCCGACACTCTATCCACTGAGCCAAACCGGTTTCGGCAGTGTAAAATGTTTATGTAACCACATCTATGATTCCTTCTGCTACTTTTGTGCTTAGGAAGATTTTTCCTATCCAAAGATGAGATAAATACTGGCCAATATTTTGTTGCATTCTCATGATTATAATGAACTCTTTAATCTACCTGCAATTTGACTTGGTATATGGTGTGCGACAAGGCTCTAAATGAACTTTCCTCCCAATAGCGTCTTTTCCGAGTGCTATGATCCTGTCTCTCCTTTTATTCATTCTCTGGGTAAAAGACGAGAGTCAGTTGGGGAAGCTAAGTGGCCCAAGCAGTTCACCAACATCACCACACCTGGGGAATGAGCTGTTTCCTAATCCCCAGGTTTTCTCCCAAATGCAGAGGGGAGGCAGGAGCATCTGCTTTCTCCACATTCACAATAACCACACCGATAGGAGAGAAAACAGGCCTGCGTCCCCATGAAGCCCTCAGGCCCGCCTGTTAGGTGATCCTGCTGATTCACAAACCACGTCCAACCCTTTCTGCTTCTGACTCTTATCCCCTGGATCAGGACGCCTCCCACGCCCTCCTCAGACCTCGAGAGAGGCTAGCTGGCTGAGGTGGTCTGCCTGTAATTACTGCTACTTAATTGGATTGTGGATTTTAATATCATCAACACGGGGAGGGGACAGATAGGAGAGGTGCCTGCAGCGCTAGGCTTCTGCTCCCCTCGCCATTTGTGCTCTCGGTTTATCTCGCCCTATGGCTGGGCAGCGCCTCCTCCTTATCGCCTCTGTTTCTCCACACGTCTCCCTGGACATAGTCACGTATGAAAGTAGCGTGGGTAGTATTAGCATGTTGCATCGCATATCTGAGATGTTTCTTTTGCTTACGTAAGTCTAAATGAAAACTTACTTTGGTTATTTTCTTGGGCTTAGTGTTTTGGAAAATATGAGGCATATTATTTTCCCATATGCCTGCCGAAGCGCTGTCCCCCTAGAAATTACGGTCTAATGGAGAAGAAATAAATTGGTGATTAGGAATGTGATGTGTTGTGAATTTAGTCTTATTTTTCACATTCTCTGTCATTTCCGGGAGATGTGGGGTGGAGAAAATATCATCACACGGGCTCAGTCCACTTCTGAGGAATGGAAGCTGCCCAGTCTCCTCTGGTGCCAGAAGAGGAGTAGGCACGGGTCCCCAAGAGGAAAAACTCGCTCTGGGGTCTCAGCTCCTCGCAGACTAACCCCTGAGCCTTGCCTTTCCTTGTATGATCTTTCCGGGCAGCCAGAGACCTTGCCAAGGGCTGGGTCTCCACGCATGCTGAGCGGCCCCTTCCCTTGGTAGACGGGTGCATCTCGTGGCGACTTACAGAGGTTGTCTCCATCCCCAAGGACTCAGAATCTGATTTGTTGGGGAATAACATCTGCCTGAAGCAGAGAATCTCACCACTTTATTTCTTTTCAGCCCTTTAATCCTAGTGCCAGAGTTATGCTCGTCATAAATCTATGGCCACTGAAATATCCTCTCCCCATCTGCCAATAACTTCCAAAACACACATGTTTTTCACAGAGCCTCTTCTAAGCTTCGCTCTTCTTTAACGACACATGACTGTTCACCTGCAGCCGGGTATTGCGGTTTGGTGGGTGAAGCAGAGACTTCCCCGGGCCTCGGATTCCTTGCATGTAAAAGTGAGCCTAGTAGTATCTCTCCCAGGGTTCTGCTGTGAGAATCAAGAGAATTAATGCGCTCACATTTGCATAAGACCTAGCTCAAAACCCACCGGTAGGATTATTTCAAGTCTGAATATTAAAATGTTATTTTAAAATTTGTCTGCAAAGTAAAGCCAGATAGGGAGTGTGTTTTCCTACAGAGAACCGCTGCTATGTCCAGGCCGCCCTCCTGTCAGGGTTGCAGGCTGTTAGCACAGCGTATATGGTGTATGTGCGCACACAGATAAGCTTTTTTTCCGCTCTTTCCTATGGGCCTGGCTCTCCAGATTTCATTATCAAAGGGGCAGAGCGCATCAGAGAACTTGATCGGCAGCCAGGCACGGTTTTTCCTTCTGCTTGTCCTTTGTCAGGTCTTTGTTCCGCCCCTGGCTACACTCGAACAGAACCACTTACTGGTGATTAAAAGGAGGGACTCGGCGGCGAGGCGGGGCCTGCGGGGCGCGGGGGCGCAGCGATTGGGTTCGCCCTCGGGG